ATTTCTCTAAAATGCATACAGACCTCATTCCAGAATGTTCTGGAAGGAAGCACAACTTAAAGAGGAAATTTCCCTGAAATGTGCACAGACCTCCTTCCAGAATGTTCTGTAAGGAAGCACAACTTAAAGAGGAAATTTCCCTGAAATGCATGCAGATCTCCTTCCAGAATGTTCTCTAAATCCTCTTCCAATTCAACTGTCATCACCACAGAACCCACACCCCATGATAAATGGCCAGAGTCCTTACTGTCTTTGTTTTACTCCAGGCGTCTGGGGCCACTAACAAGGAGGTGGAGGTCTCAAGGCTATTGTCAATGGATTCTGCCAGAGGCCAGACTGTAAATGGCTGTCTTCTGTGACAGCATCAGTCCAGTTACAAATCTCCGGGTTCCATGATAAAGGATTTGGCTGGGCAGTGGCCCTGGTTTCTTGGAGGAAACCTCTACATCCCTGAAACTTCCTGATAGGAGAATCTATGTTATTCATGGTGGGTTTTTCCAACCATACCTGAGTTTATGCTCATGAAATTACCAGGATGGAAGCTGACCACACCAGAAAGGTGAACCTGGTGATTGGAGACTTGGGGCTTTGACCAACACAACGTCAGTCCTCCAGCGAGGGGAGGAGGGCTGGAGACTGAGTTTAATTGCGTGGGCAGTAAATTGATCAATCATGCCTCTGTAATGAAACTCCAATAAAAATTCTGGACATGGGCTCGGGTGAGCTCCCAATTAGTGAACACATCAAGGTGCCTGGGGATGACATGTCCTGATCCACAGGGTGATACCATGGAACCTTCCAGGCCTGGCCCTATGCATCTCTTCACTGGGCTGGGCTGTATTTCCACCCTTTGATAATAACACTGTAATCTTGTCACTGCAGTAGTTTCCTGAGTTTTGCCAGTTGTTCTGGCCAATTATGAAACCTGAGGGGGTTGTGGGAAATGCCAAATTTTTGGCCAGTTGGCCAGAAGCGCCAGTTCTGGGGAGCCTGGAACTCCTAGCTGGAAATTCTTGTGGGCACTGTGCCTGGCCTCTGACGTCTGAGCCGGTTCTGGGTGTTGTGTGTTGGGATGGCATTGCGGTCCCTAAAGCAAGTTCTGGGGAATGGTAGGAATGCATCTCTGCATCTATATTTCTGTTCGGTCCCGGTCTAAAGCAGCTGGTCCTCAGAATTGTCTAGGGGTTTTTTAGAAAGAAGAGCCTTCTGGAACCCTTCCTGAACAATTCTGATCCCGTAGGCCTGCAATGGGCCCTGGAGTCTGTATTTTTGAAAAGCTTTCCTAAGTAGTACTGAGGCAGAATCATATTTAAGACTAACTTTCCAGTGCAACTAAGCATACCTCCCCAAAAGAGAAAATCTGTTTGAAAGAAGGGAAAATGCAGAAAATTGGGGAGGCCATTCCCCAACATTCTAACAAGTCAGGGAACAAAGGGGCAGCAGATAGAAAGTTCCATGCTGGGAGGTCAGTGCTGCAGCCTGCATCCTTAGGCTGAGGTCAGTCTATGAAAAGGCAGATTTGGTGACCCTGCATCCCTTTCTGGGTGCTGAGCTCTGAAGACACATGTGAGGCCTTCTTGCCTCTCCATATGTCCCCCCTTGGACCTTTCAGATTTCCTTACGGTCCTGACATCAGTGTCCTCTGATGGGATGCACATGCTCGGCTCGGTGACCAGCTGGAAGCCCTAGCTGCTGCTGGCAGGGGCCAGGACCCTCAGCTCTGAGGGTTTCAGTGGACGGACTGCATACCTTGCATCTGGGGTGAGGAAGAATGTCCTGAGAACTGAGTGGCGCACGAGGAATTCACGTGACAGCTTCTCAAGCTCGTGGCCTTCTCCTTCTCTCCTAAAACTGCCCTGAGTTGCCTCTGTCTCCCACCGGGGTGACAGTCCCATCTCCTCTCTGATCTCCCTGCTTCTCATCTTGCCCCTGTGCAGCCTGTTCTCCACACAGGGCGATCCGCTAACAAGTCAACCAGCCATGTCTTTCCCTTGCTTGAAATCCTCCGAGGCTCCCTTGCATTGTGAAAATTAGAGCAAGAGCCCCAGGGATCTGTCCCTGCCTGTTTCCTTCCCCTCACTTGGTCCTGTCATGCACCAAACCATAGCCACATGGTTTTTACTTTTTGTTTTTCAAAGAATTTCAAATTCTCTTCTCCCACAGGGCCTTTGCACAAGCTTTTCCCACAGTCTGCAACACCTGCCCTTCTTTCCTACACTTGACTTGTTCCCAGAAATTCGTCATCCTGTCTTAAATGTCACCTTCAGAGAGGCATTCTTCAGCCCAGATACATAGGTAGGCTGACCCTATTGTTGTCTGTGACATGATCTTCTTGATGTCTTTTTGGAATTGATCACACTTTTAAATATATATTTGTTTTTCCCGTCTCTTCCACAAGGCTGTTGAATGTTGCATGGACCTGTGTCCAGCACAGAGAATGTGCTTGTTTTAGCAGAGTAATTAATATAAGCGGCAGCAGTGAATAACCCAGACAATGTCAATGGCTTATCTTGGAAAGATTTCTTACTTTTTTTTTTTTTTTCTTGAGACAGAGTCTCACTCTTGTCACCCAGTTTGGAGTGCAATGGTGCAATCCCGGCTCACTACAACCTCTGCTGGTCTCAAACTCCTAACCTCAGGTGATCCCCCCACCTCGGTCTCCCAAAGTGCTGGGATTATAGGTGTGAGCCACTGTGCCCAGCCAGAAAGGTTTATTTCTTGATCACATGACTTAGCCAGCACAGGTGGGTGTGGACCTCTGCTGTCCCCACTCCACCTAAAGAACCTTCTCCACCTCCTGGTCTCCTTACCTGGAATATGTGGCCTATGAGGTTTGCCAAAGAGGAGAAAATGGAGACATACTAGCTGTTATCAGCCTGGCAGCCACAGGCACACTTCTGTTCTTGGTCCATTTGCCTGACCAGTCCTATGGCTCCCACCTCCTGCAGGAGAGTGGAGAACAGAGGAGGCAGGAAGGACACTAGGAAGGGCGGGGAGGGAGGAGAGCCGCTCAGCTGGAGGGGGTAGGGGGGATGCTGGGTAGGCACTGCTGGGAGGAGGGTAGGCACTGCCAGGAGGAGGAATGCCACTGGGTGGGCACTGTTGGGAGGAGGGACACTGGGTGGGCATTTCTGAGAGGAGGGTGTGTGCTGCTGGGAGGAGGGACGCTGAGGCATTTCTGGAAGGAGGGTGGGTGATGCTGGGAGGAGGAACACTGGGTGGGCATTTCTGGGAGGAAGATGGGTGCTGCTGGGAGGAGGGATGCTGGGTGGGCATTTCTGGAAGGAGGAAGATGGGTGCTGCTGGGAGGAGGGATGCTGGGTGGGCATTTCTGGAAGGAGAGTGGGTGATGCTGGGAGGAGGAACACTGGGTGGGCATTTCTGGGAGGAAGATGGGTGCTGCTGGGAGGAGGGATGCTGGGTGGGCATTTCTGGGAGGAGGGGGCTGGGGAAGAGCCACACAGCCTGAGGTCTGTGGCGGAAGGAGATGACAAGAAGCAGGGAGAACACCAATGGAATAAACTCTGCAGCTTCCTTCAGATCATCCCTGCACAGGTGTTTCTCAAAACTCATGTTCAGTGAGAACAGCAGGCATAGACTCCGGACAAACCCTCCGTCTCCTTTCACGTTAGGTCGGCCCACGGGCTGGAGTGTCTGCGTCTTGGCTGGCCCGGCGGTATACATGTCAAGCAGTGTGCAGACTCCACAGCCATTCATAGGCACTGCTGGCCTCATGCCCCAGACGGCCCTGGGACGATGGGCCACTAAGGGAAATAAATGATAACGTGACCTCCAGCCCGCTTCAGGGCCGCTCTTGTTCCCCATGCCACCTCCCCCCTTCCTATGGGCTCCCAAGAAATGGGTGGCAGAGACCAGCCCGGTGATCTACCTCCTGCCTTCCCGTGACTTCCTCCCAGTCCCGTGCATCTCATGTTTAATTATGAGGCTGTGGAAGGTGGTGATATTAATTATAGGGCTGAGATTGTGTTACTTGGAGAAAGTCAGTGCACATGTAATTTGATTTTCCTCAAGAAGGAAAATTATATTTTTTTCTGATCTCAAAAATAATTCCAGGGAAATAAATGTGTACAATCACACTTTGGGGTTTTAAACTAATGAGTTTCAGTTTTAAAAAATGTTAAAAACCTTTCTATTTGGAGAAAGCTGGAAGAATCCACTTTGGGATCTGGAGGTTCTCAGGAGCTGTGTCACCTGGGAGTGGTCTCGCTGGTCGGTAGCAGCTTTTGTATGAGAAGCGGCGTGGAATCCCGACTTAGGCAGGGAAGGCTTTGCTGAAGAGGTGAGAAGCCCAGCTTAGGTCTGGGTTTTCTACAGACCAGGAACAAAAGCATTGCTTGGCAAGATTTCTTATCTGCTCAGAGTTAACATGCAGATTCCAAAAGATAAGATGGGGAGAATTTGACATGTTTTGGTGGAAATAAGTCAAAAGAAGGCTAATATTAGCAATAACAATGATAATAACCCTTAATTGTGCCTGTGTTAGGTACCAGGCCCTATTCTAAGTGTTGCGAGTGTGCTCTGTCATTTAATCTCACGGAGTTCTGAAGGTGCTTCCCAGGTTTGTCCCCATCACAAAGATGAGGCAATCGTTCTGTTAAGACTGTCCTTGGGTCATTATGTCAGCAATGAAATCAGTGCTGCCATTATTAAACCCTTAGTGTGTGCTGGCATTTGTGTATGCATGCATATGTGTGTGTGCACACACGTGTGTTTGCGTGTACATGTGCACATGTGTGTGTTGTGTGCATGTGTGTGCACATGTGGAAAGAAAGTGACCTGTGTGGGAATGGAGAATTCCAACCCAGGAGGAGGCTGTGCCTGGGGCTGCCACGAGAAGTGGAAGCCATAGCCATGTTGGTGGCGCTTCGAGAAATGGGTTCCAAACGTACATTTCTTTACAGTTCTCTGTGTGACCTTGGGCAAGTCACTTCAGTTCCCCGAGCTTTGTTTTTAAAAATATGTTTTAAATGTATATAACCATGGACCATACATATGAAGAGAAAGGTGTGTGCAAACATTCAGGGAATAATCACAAGGTGGAGGTGTGCCCGCTCAGACCCAGAGCTGGCACAGGGACCTCTCCCAGAAGGCTGCAGGGCTTCCCTCCCAACCCTCCAACTGCTCACTTGCTGAGCCTGTGCTTATCTGTTCAGTGGAACTGCTGTGTGCCACGCTCCTCAGAAGTAAAGCCACCAGGCAAGTGTGACACTCTGTGCCCAGCTTGGTGCAAAGCCCCTTGTGTGCGCAATCTTACTGACCTCCCAGATAACATGGTAAGGTCAGTACTGTCACTTTCCCCACTTCGAAGATGAGGAGAGCACAAATTCTAGACGGAAATGGAGGTCATGCAGCGGAAATAGGATCCAGACAGATGAGTCCAATCTCGAGCCTGAATCCTTCCATTCCACACTACGCTTGAAGCTCCGTCTCTCTTCCTAGTTGATTCTCCCCACTTCCCCACCCCCAGATGTATCCCATCACTGCCTGGTGGACAGTAGCCATGACTGAGTTTTGGTAAAGGTTTCTGAATAATCAGGCTGCTGGGTAATGTTTCCATTTCACCTCTCCCAGTCATTATGGGGTCCCATGAAAAAGGCAGCTCAAACTGTAAATGACTCAAAGGAAGGACAGAAAGGTCTTCTGTTTGCACCTACCCTAAGGATTTGGGGTAGACAATGGGAATTTACTAACTATGAATTCCACTGCTTTCCTTGCTGAAAGAGAGGCGTGGAATCAACGCTGAGTGAAGGCATCAAGTTTACGCTGCTAATTACTTCCTGATCATGCAGAATAAAAGCTACATCCCTTGAAATACATCAGGCAGCTAAACATAATCTTTGCCTTTGCCTGGTGTTGGTTAAGGAATCCAGATGTTACTGCAATAACCACTCCATAAACAAACAGAACGCCCAGCTGGGAGAACTGGCTTCTCAGCATTCGTCCCAGCAGAGGCTCTTCCGGGGCTGGGTTCTGACGGTTCCCCTGTTTTAGCACAGCTCTTGTTGGCAGGCAGATGGCTACGAGTACAGCCACAGGCTGAAGGTGAGTCCAGCACAGAACTTCCTGATGGTGAACAGGAGTAAATATGGGGCCCACCCAAAACCTTTGTCTGCTGACTTCTTAGCAAACGGAGGCAGCTCCAGGCTCTGGAGAGTTTGGGTATAGGAGACCATGACTTGAGCAGACTGATGTAAGTGGAAGGCAAACATATTTAGATGGTACAACTTAATTTAGATTTATCAATGCTAATATGGAAAAAGCTAGTACTTATTGGGGCTTATTAGATTTTTAGTCTGAATCCTCACAACTTACGAGGGTGTTCATTTTACAGACTGATCTCGTGTGATTTCCCCAAAGATGCCCGATAAGTATATGGTGAAAGTAGAATTTGAATACAGCAGACCTGGCTCTGCTACTTTCTGTATTTCTGTTTGGTTCAAACCAGCCTTTCTTCTTTCAAAACAACTTCAATGGAACTCATGGTTTTGGAAAATAAACTTGATTTTGAGATTCAGACAATAAGTGCATTTTTAATGTTTATTCTTTTATCTTGATCTATTTATGAAATGATATGTGCTCACTCAGTGTCAACATTTCAGACAACACAGACAGTACAATGACAAATTGGGGATCAGCTCTAATCTCAGCCCCCCATTTAATATGTTGCTGAATATTCTTCTGAACAGAGTTCATCCCACGCTGTCCCCTGGTACAAGACGCTCCAAGGGGCTGAAGAGAGAGGGACTTCTGCAGTCAAGACATCTGGGACACTCTTGGACAGTCACAATGTGCATTTGGGTATTAAAGGCTCTGAAAAGTTCTGCACCAAATAAACCCGTGGATTGGCTTGATCCAATGCCACGTTTCCAAAACCTACTTGCCCATGGGACACCTTAGTCCATAACACAGGTTGGCATTTCTTCTAGAGAGTGTGCTCTGAAAAACACTGGTCTCACAACACCGTGCATTCATCCAGCAGGTATTTACCAAGCAGGGACTTTGGGCCAGGTCCGTGTTAGGCTCTGGAGGTGGACCAGTCAGCCCTGGCCCCGATGGTGTCACTTCTCATGGGAGAGGCAGCACAGAAGTCATTGAGAAAATGAAGAAACACACAGGCACTTTCAGATGCTGATAATGACTACCACGAGAAAAAAGAGCTCCAGGTGGTGTCATTTTGAGACAATCTTCTCAACAATGAGACAGAATGAACCATGCAAACTTTGGGGGCTATGATGGTTTTAGGAAAGAGCTAGAGTGAAGAATCCTTTGACATATATTGATACAAATAAAGATACATGTGTATAATTTTATGTAATTGACATCACATTATATGCTGGCACCTGCCTTTTGTAAATGTCACAAATGAAATGCCTTAATGAAAATGTCAAAGGTAATATTACCAATCAATAAATATATTTCGCCATCATGTTTAATTTCTGCAGAGCAGTTATTCAAGCACATACTGCATTTTTCTTAGTCACCCACTGGTGGGAATAGAAAGTTTTCTCATGCATACATTTTTCCCACTTCTGAAATGATCTCCTTAGAATAAATTCCCCCGAATTGGATTGCTGGGTTCAAAGGCATGAACATTTTACATTTTTATACAATAATGTCAAACCACCTTCCATAAATGATGCTTACTTTACTTTCCCTCCAAGACTGCATGAAAATGCCCATTTTCCTAAATGCTTGCTATGACTGGTTTCCAACTACATTTTAATTCTTGTTCAATCTGATAGGCAAAAAATGATATTTAATTTTTATTTGATTGATAATGAGCTTGAATGTGCCCATTCACCTTTTGCATTTATTCTTTTATGAAACATCTGTTCATATCTTTTGTCAATGTTCCCATATATTAACTTGTTTTCTTATTAATTTGTTTAATTAATTTGTTTCTGTGTATATTGTGAATATTAGCTTTGGTGATAAGAATTATGGAATTGTTGTTGCCGCTAGTTTTGCTTATCATGTTTAAAGCCATTCAGAGATGCTGTAAATGTGTATGTTGTTAAATTTATGTCTTATTTTGTGTTTTCTGATGCTCATATGTTTAGAATGGCCAAGCAACCCCAACTTATGATTACATACATATTCTCCCATATTTGCTTTTAGCATTTTTTTTTTCATGTAAACCTTTGTTCTTTCAGGAATTTACTTTGCAGTAAGAAATGGGCTGGCTTCCAGTTTTATGTTTCCCAAATGGTAATTCAGCTGTTCCATTTCCATATTCTCCCTTATTAGAAATGACCACTGTATTATGTTCTAAAATATCTACATACTTGGGTCTCTTCCTATAATCTCAGTTCGTCTCTTTGAGCTATCTTTTGATTCCTTTTTCAAAACACAGTGCTTTACTGAACTGTCATCATCTTATACATTTTTAATACCTAGCAAGAAGAGTTTCTCAATGCCACTCTGTTTCAGAGTTTTTCTGATGGTTGTAACATGTTTATTCTTCTAGATAAACTTTAGAATCACTCTTTTTGTCCAAGGTAAAATACATCCCACATTGAGATCATACTGAATGTATAGACTAATTTGGGAAAAAAAATATGTTTTTATTGCATTGAGTCTTCTTATCCAATAAAAAAGACATGAATTTCCATGTATTGAAATCTTTTAAGAAGATCTTCACTGAGACTTATTTTTGGCTTTTCACGTGTCCTGCAAATGCATTGTTAAATTTATTTTGAGGTATTTTAAGGGAAATGATTTTCTAAAGTGTGTATTTTCTCACTTGTTATAATTTACATGTGAGATAGTCATTGATTGTTGTGTATTATTTATAACTGATCATATTACTGTATTTTTATTGTTTTAATAGTTTTTCTTTTATTTTGGGTTTTCCTGGAATACAACCTTATTATCTACAAATTAGGATTGTTTTGCCTTTTCCAGTGTTCATGACTGTTTTATATTCTTGTCTGATTGCTTTGTTCAGCACTTCTAGAATGAAGTCATGGGATACTAGTGATAAAGGTATTCTTAACTTGTGACTCTCATAGAAGGCTGATGGTATTTCTACAAGTAAATTTGATGGTAATTTTTGGATTGGAATGTGCCTTAAAAAAATTCTACAGTGCTCACACTTGGAATCCCAGCACCTTGGGAAGACAAGGCGGGTGGATTGCTTAAGCCTGAGTTTGAGACCAGCCTGGGCAACATTCCAAAAGCCTGTCTCTACAAAAAACAAACAAATAAACAAAAGCAAACAGCAACAACAACAAAAAACAGCAATTAGCCAGGCATGGTGGCACACACCTGTAGTCGCAGCTACTCAGGAGGCTGAGGTGGGAAGATCACTTGAGCCCTGGAGGTGGAGGTTGCAGTGAGCTGCGATGGCATGGCGCCACACCACTTCAGTCTGAGCAACTGAGTGACAGCCTGTCTCCAAAAAAACAAAAAAACAAACAAACAAAAAAACCCAAAAAACCAACCAAACAATATCTTATAAGAAGGAATTACTGATAATTTCAAGTATCAGAAATGGATGTTAAATCTTATCAAATATCTTTGTGACTTATAAGAAATGATCATATGCTTCTTTTTCCTTTGCCCTATTAACGTTATGAGAATATTTTTAAAAGTTTCCTAAACCATATAGCTCCTGGATTTTGCGAATCAGTTCCTCACCATCGTGGTGTGTTATTTGCCAGCGATTTTCTCTAGCTTTTTGCATGAACTTTCTCTAATTACCTTTTCTGCAGGGAATCTGTGTCAGGCCCTGGCATTCAGGTTATGCTGACTGTGGAGAAACCATTCAGTGACGTTTTGTCTTTCTCAATGTACTGGAATTGTTTCCATAGTACAGAAATAATCAGTTCTTTGAAGATTTGAGAAAATAGGACTCTGGAAAGCAATAACTTCTATCCCACTGTTGGGAGTATAAATGGTTTCAGCCACTTTGGAAAGTCTTTTGTTAGTATTTAGTTAAGTCAAAACATTTATACCCTTTGCTCCTGCAACTCTACTCCCCTATCTGGGCCCTAGAGTAGCAGTCTCCAGTGTTTTTGGCACCAGGGATGGGTTATGTGGAAGCCAATTTTTCCACAGACTGGGTTGGGTGGGGGATGGCTTCAGGATGATTCAAGCACCTTACATGAACTGTGCCCTTTATTTCTATTATTATTAGCACATTACATTTATTGTGCACTTTATTTCTATTATTATATTGTAATATACAATTAAATAATTATACAACTCACCATGATGTAGAATCAGTGGGAGCCCTGAGCTTGTTTTCCTGCAACTGGCTGGTCCCATCTGGGGGTGATGGGAGACAGTGACAGATCATCAGGCTTTAGATTCTCATAAGGAGCTCATAGCCTGGATCCCTTGCATGTGCAGTTCACAGTAGGGATCACGCTCGTGTGAGAATCTAGTACCGCTGCTGATCTGACAAAAGGCAGAGCTCAGGAGGCCATGCAAATGACAGCGAGCAGCTGTAAATGTAGGTTAAGCTTTGCTCACTCGGCAGCCACTCATCTCATGCTGTACGGCCCAGTTCCTAACCGGTTCCGAACCTGTACTGGTTCACAGCACAGGATTGGGGACCCTGCCCTAGAGAAACTCTCTTATGCATTCTCAAGAAATGGTATGTGTGAGATTTTTCATTGCAGTGTTGTTCATACTGGTTAACAAATCAGAAATGACTTAAATGTTCCTCAGTAGGGGATTGGACTAGGTAATTTATGCAATGGATTACTCTGCCACAGGTAAAAGGATTAAATCAGGTCTACCGATATCAACCTGGAAAATTCTCAAAAACTTAGTATGGGGGAGGAGACGGTGAGAAGAAAGTGAAAAAGAACATGTTCATCATGATACAATTTGTGTAAAAATAACAGGAAACATTGTTATATATAATTTTGTTATATAACAAATAACAGGAAACAATGTTACAAATAATTAAAAAATAACAGGAAACAATGTTAGATATGATTTTGTGAGCCTAAGTGTGGATAATATATACACATATATCATCAAAAGCACAGAAGACAGCGTGTTCATCACCTTCAAGAACCAGGGTTTCCCCTGTGGAGGGAGGGAGCGGAGACAAAATGGTAACAGAGAAATGGGGCTTCAAAGGTCTTGTAGTATTTTATGCATTAAGCAAAAAAGCTCTGTTGTAAATACAGAAACACATGATATCTTTGAAAGCTGTGGGGTGGGGCATAGGTATTTGTTATATTAACCACACTTCATTTATGGTCTTTATGAATTTCTATCTGGTTTCTCCATTAAGGACTAGAGAGGTATTTCAAAGGCTCCTATTGTGTTTCTACCAATTCTGTCTGTTCATCTTCTTTTTAAAAATTGGAGGTGGAGGCTGGACACTGACAATTGTTACTCTTTAGATACTTTGAGTTAGACAGCACAGTGCTCAGCCCGGGGCAGATGTCCAACAAACGCTAGATGGCGTCATCATCCTCTTGGACACTTTGGCTCTGGGTGCATCCCTCCAAATCCTCTATTCCCTTGCCTTGGTGTGAAGCCAGTGCCCTTGGAGCGAACCCCCTTGGCTCCCAGCTCTTCCCAGGTTGAGCTGGGCTTGGCACCCCATCGAGAAGTTGGAACACAGGCCCTTGTGCTTGCTGGGAACACTATGTGTGTCCCTTGTTGACTCCTTTGACTTACAACATGATTCCTAGGTTACGCTCCAGGACTGCCTGCTGGTTAGTGAAAATGACAGGACTGTCTCTTCTTACCTGGGTCCTGCCGTTCACCTGACCTGCTGGGATGGGGCACCAGCCCAGGCAGACAGTTTATCTTTCTCTCTGGTAACCTGTGGTCCAGGCCCCACTCTCACATCTTCTCTTACTTGTCCATGAGCTAAAGTGACTCACCTCACCTGCACCTTTCACTCTGACCTGATTTGGATGACTTCTGGTGGACTTCCATCAGTGTGGCATGGCGGTGCGCTTTCCCCAGTTTCAGGGAAGGCTGACTTTACTAGTCTACTTGTGGGTCCCTTGGGTCAGTGGATCTTACTTTGGGGTGATTTTGCATGATGGGGATATTTGGCAATGTCTAGAGACATTGTGGTCATCACAGCTGGGCAGGGAGACGGGGAAGGTGTGCTACCAGCATCTAGTGGTGGAGACCACGGATGCTGCTGAACGTTCTAAGCTGCACAGGACAGGCCACCCCCTCTTAAACAAAGACTTATCCTTGAAGTATAAATAGTGCCCAGGCTGAGAAACTCTGCCTTAGGCCCAATGAGCCAATTTTACTCTGTTTTGCCTCACTTGGCTTCAACAGCTGGGCTTTGGAGAGATGGCATGCACTTGACATTGACGTGGTATGATGTAACAAGCACCAGGCA